AATTAAAATTAACTTAGACAAAACCGAAGATATACTTTTCACGAGACACAGAATCCCTCCACCTGATATTTTCCTCTTTAATCAACCCATTAAATGGACTAACAATACTAAATACTTAGGTGCATATCTTGATAGCAAACTAACTTATTCTAATCATATTAATCATATTAAACATAAAAATAATATTTCTCTACGCATGCTATATCCCTTTATTAATCGAAAATCCTACTTATCCTTGGATAATAAACTACTTAATCATTTGCATGTATTATTTGCGTCCCTATATCACGTATGCTAGCCTAGTTTGGGTTCTGCTGCAAGATACCACATTAACTACATCAGTAGACTTGAAAATAAAATTCTAAGAATGATTACTGATTCTCTGTGGTATCTTAGAAATGATGACATTCGTCACTGTCTTTGCCCTCCCTTCTATTCAAACTTTTTGTGCTCAAGCTTGCTGAAAATTCTACGCATATTTCCAATGATTCTACGCATATTTCCATAATCCATCTTGAACATATTTCCAATGATGAAATTCGTAATCTCCCGAGATACGACTTTACTCTGCCGGAAAATGCTAAACTCCGCAGGGCGGTTCTTTACAATTTACAAAGTTCCTAGACGAACTCATCCTTTCGTCATCATTTCTAGCTGCTGTTACGCTATCCTCCTGTGGAATCTCTTTTTATTTTGCTATTATACTGTTTTATATTATTCATTTTCTTTTTAGAATTTTGAATTTGGGGAAATTTTCCTTAACTACTTATTTCCTGTTTTACGATAACCATGTTTCTCCTACTTACATGTTACTCCGATAAACTGTAAAGATTGACGATGTTCTAGGTAGGTAATAAAAAAAAATAAAAACAGAATATTAGAATTATCGCAAACCACAATTCCTTGGAAAAAATATTTAGGTATTTGCTAAGATAGCACCTCACATGAAAAAAGCATTTCGTATATAATAAAAAAATAAATTTTAGAAAAATCTGTCCTCTGATCAATAGACTCTGTAGCATGAGCAGGGACAATAAAATTCTTTTGTCTACAGCTGTTCTACGATTCTATAATTATCTACGCATATATAGTAGGGTCCTATGGCTTCCTATGGTCCTACTTTCTTAAGCAAGTTTTTGGAGAATAAAAATTAAAACATTAGTTTAAATTCTGACTTGATTTCGCCACTATGATTTCTAGCCCAGCATATGAAAACTGGAAGATCAGAGAAGGACATCTCTTTGCACCGAGGTAAAAATATTAGCAAAATCCATGTTTATATTTTATTTACAGTAATATTTACTTTGAATGAGAAGTAAGAGCTCATAATTATAAGTAATAAAACAAAGCAGCTTTTAGGAATGTGAAATATATTGTAAATTTATGTATAGCAAAGTTCATATTTTTGTTCAATGTAGATCTAATTTTGTATTCAATATATTTTTTAAGTCACCAGCATCTAAAACAATAACGGAAAATTGTGCATTTTAATACCATTATGATAATGAAATAATAAAAAAAAACTACATATTCATAGGATCGTTTAAAATGTAAATATTGGTTTTAGATTTCTTTATTTCTCTTTGTTGGGTAGCGATTACCTTTGATCTTCTTCTACTTGTTCACTGCTACAGCAGCCCATGTGAGCCAAGGCCGACTGCCTAGTGGCAGATTTCGTGGCAGCACATGTTTTCTTTTACAGTTATTTGGTTTTCAGCCCTACGCCAAACAAAATTGAAGAAGTAGAAAGAAGATATTATTAATATTCTTACTGTGAAAGCTGTTATTCTTACTGTAAAAGCCGTTTGCCTAATGGCAGATTTCGAGATAGCAGATGTTTTTAAAGGGTAAATGTTTTTAGCCCCTACGCCTGACATTCAACTGTAAAATTAGACCGGGACCTACGGTTGACCGTGGATTCAGAACCATTACAAACATCCCTGTCACGCTGGGACTCGAACCCAGAAACCTTTGGCATAGAGTACAAATTGTTAATTGATTACATTTTATAATATATACATATATCTTTTATACACATATACACAAATATCTTTTTATTTGTAATGTGTCATGTACTAGAGATTTGAATATGTTTAATATACAAAACCAAAATAATATAAAAAATTTCATTACGATATCAGTTTCAAATTATTCTCATTTGTATCGATTTTTGTAATTTTATTTTATTTTTAACACAGTGTAATAGAATGCATGTCTTTTTATTACACCATTTGGCATATATTATGTAACAACTCTTAGTAATGAAATCAAACAACATTGAGGACTGAAAAACGTGATAAAATCTTTTATAGAACCAACGTTATAATTTAATAGTATTTTATATAATTTTATGATTTCAGTCGCTAATTTATTACAAGGAACCCATATTTTCATATCTACAGACTGAATAATTATTCTTATTTATTATTCAGACCGACTTAATAAATAATTAAACTATAGTATGCGTTATGATTCAAGAAAGAAATGCCAGGAGTGGCAACAACTGCAAAAGGTAATACTTGCAGGTAGTTTAATCTACCACATTTAGCGGTTGCTACAGAAATACCAGTATAAATACCAGACAATAAACTTCTAGTGTCGCCCAGATGAGCGCCAGTGGTCTGGTGCGCGGGCTTCGAATCCGCAGCTGATGAGAATCAGAGTGGTTCGATTCCACCTTCTGGGCTAAGGAGTCATGGTGATATCGAACACATGCTGTGTGTTTAAATCCCATGATTACCTTTTAGTTTATTTTGAAACAATGCTCGCTTAAATTCAATTGGAATTTTTTGTTACTTTAGTAGTATACTTGATTATGCTGAATACTTTTTTTTTTAAATTTTATAACTTTTCTCCATTAAAAATAATAATATTAATTTCCTACTCAAGGAAATTTTTTTAAATCCGTTGCCAAAAGTTATCACATTACAATTGTAAACAGTTTAAAGAGTGTTCTTTACACTGTGCTAAGAATCCTTAAAAGTGTGAAGCATACTTGCTTATGTATTTTTTTTTGTTGTTGTTGTAAAGATTATAATATGCTATAATTAGCAAAAAAAGTATTTGAAACATTTATTTTGAATTCTTTTCAGAATATGTCAATCATTTGTAATGCTTCTTAATATTGCTTAAAGGAAATCATTTCTCTCCAATTCCAGCTTGCATATATCATGACATAAATCTTGGCAGTAGTATAGAACATTTTTTAAGAGTGAGGAATACATGTTAAAATTTTTTAAAAAGCATGAACGTTAAACTGTGTTCAGCATAAACAAGCGAGGGAAAGCAGTAAAATGTGCAAATGTTTGAACATGGAACATTACCAGGCCTTCGTCTCCCAGAAAGTGGAATTTAACCATTCTAATTCCCATGAACTACGGCGTAAAAGCCAGCACACCGTGCTGACAAATCTCATCGTGGTAACAGCCGATGGTTGTTCGATTCCATCTTTCAGCATTCATATACAAATTTTCGATGCAGTAGTGTATAAGTATTCAAACGTTCTTATTTTTCACTGGAAAAAGAACAGATATTTGTCCCTTAACATGCAGTAATTCTAATACTTCCCATTTGCATATGTATATATCTTTTTTTTGTTGTTGTTGTAAAGATTATAATATGCTTCAATGAGCAAAAAATCATTGAAACATTTATTTTGAGTTCCTTTAAGACTATGACAATCATTTGTAATGTTTCTTAATGTCGCTTAAAGGAAAACATGTCTCTCCATGTCTAGCTTGCATATGCTATGAAATAAATCTCGGTAGCGGAATGGAACAATTTGTAAGAGTGAGAAATACATGTTAATATTCTTTATAGGATTACAGTTCTACTGTATTCAGCGTAAACAAGAGTATAGCGAGGGAAAGTAATAAAATGTTCAAATGATTGAACTATGGAACATTACCATATTTCCCTCTCCCAGAACGGGCAATTGAACCATTCTAATTCTCATCCACTACGGGTTAGAAGCCGGCACAATGTACTAACAGATCTCCTCGTAGTAACAACACACGATTGTTTGATTCCAACGGCATTTATATACAGATTTTCGGCGCAGTAAAAAAAAAAATTCAAACGTTCTTATTTTTCACTGGAAAAAAAACAGACATTTGTCACTTAACATGCAGTATTTCTAATACTTCCTATTTGCATAACAAAATCACTAATTATAAGTCAAATATTTTTTCTCTTTTTTGAAATCAGAATTGTATTTGTTGTAAAGCAAAATGTTGCTTGCATCTGTTCTGTAGTGAAATTGGGGTGCTATTAGATCGAATCGAATCGTCTACATCTGCGATAGTCAGATGAGAATAGTGAGTGGGATAACTAGTGAGAAAGATGGAAGAAGGTATAAGGAGCTTGAAAAGATGAGTCCTATTTTAATAATAAAGGCTCTGTTTATACTTTTGAAATTAACGTGCTTTATTTACCACCATGTAAAAGCCTTGAAATGTTTTTGATTTTCTGCGTCGAAATGTCTGCCGTAGTTACCTTATATAACCATGCCTTTTTATTTATAATTTTTCTATGTAATGAAGATTTAAATATTTCTTTAATAAACGAAAATATATTTGAGACATTCCTTTTAAATATTCGATTAAAATATAAGAATAATATGTATTGATATTTGAAATCTTGTTTTATTTTTTTAACACAGTGTAATAGAATGCGAGTCTCTTTTTTATACCATTTTGCATATGGTAAGTAACAAATCTTGGTAGAAAAACAAACAACATTGAGGAATGAAAAAGTGATAAAATCTTCTATAGATGGAACGTTATTATATTTGTTGCAAGGAAAACCGTATTTCCTACATACCGACTGAATAATTATTACTTAATATCATTAACCTATAGCATACGAAATGACTCAAGAAAGAAAATGTCAGTAATGATATCAACTACAAATGGAGATTCTTGCTCGTAGTTTAATCTACCACTTTTAATACTTGCTACAGGAATACCAGTATAAATACCAGACAACCAACTTGTAGTGTCACCTAGATGAGCGCCAGTGGTCTGGAGTGCGGGCTTCAAACTCGTAGCAGATGAGAGTCTGAGTGGTTCGATTCCAGCTTCTGGGCGATGGAGTCATGGTGATGTTAAACTCTTGTTGTGAGTTTCGTCTACCTATGACTTCCTTTTAATCTATTTTGAAACAATGTTCGCTTAAATTCATTTTATACTTTGTATTAATTTTCCTCGTCGTTCACTTCATTATGCTGAATACTTTTAACTTATACTTTTAAATTTTATAACTTTTAGAACCTTACATATTATAACATGTAATTCATACTGAGAAAATTGTTTGATTCCATTGCAGAGATTTATTACGTTACATTTGCAAATAGGGAAAAGGTGCTCTTTACACTGTGCTAAGAATCCTTAAAAGTTTGAAGCAATATGTGTACGCAAGTGTATGTACAATACTTTTTTTTGTAAAGATCGAACAGTCTGATTCAATTCCCCGTTCAAGTACGGGTCAGAAACCAGAACAACTTACTGACACATCTCATCGTGGCAGTAGAAGCAGATTGTTTGACGCAGTAGTAAATAGCAATAAAGCAATTGATGAATACGGTTTGAAAACAAAAATTCTAAGAATAATTATTAAGTCAATTTTTTCATGATATTATAAACATTATAAAAACTAAATATTGGTCTCACAACTTGCTTTATCACTAATGCTATACGATACGTTTATCGAATTTAACCTAGTAACCACCTATTATAAGCCCAATATTTATTTAATCTCCTGTTTTGCTCTTTTATGAATTTAGAATAGAATCTGTCGTGAAGCATAATGTTTGTTGAATTCGTTATGTGGTGAACTTAAGGTGCTTTTTGGTTGTGATGCAGTTGTGTACATCAGCGATAGTCAGTCGAGAAATGTGAGTGGGTGTAGGAAAAAATAACAGGGTAGATAGAATGAACATGAAAAAGATAGAGTGAACTTTTTATAGTAAGTATTCTGGTAATACTTTTCAAATCAATGTGCGTTATTTACCAGAAAAAAAAGTATTCAAAATTTCTTGTTTTTTAGTCCTTAAAAATGTGTGCCGTAGTTTCTGATGTTTTTCAATGTATTGCCTGATTTGAAGTTGAAGGGTGATAATTTAGTATTGTTGGTACTGATATATATATATATAAACTTAAAACAACTTTTTAATTCCTCTATTGCCGAAATTGACAGCAGACTTTTATGGGGATCGTTAAACAAAATTTAATCCGTCACATTTAGCGTTCTGTATAGGAATGCTCGTATATCTGACACTATACTGAAGTTGTCGCTCAGGTGAACGCCCGTGGTTATGATGTGCTGGGTTCAGGTCGAGCAGAAATTTCTTCCTGTTTTTCGTTTACTCGCATTAATTACATTAAGTCTGCAACTGAGTTTCTTAATTGTTCGTTACATAAAAACATCTAATTTTTTTATTGCGATCCGTATTGTGAAGCTCGTTGGCGATTTGTAGTTTGACGGAGCTCCTTGGTTGCTAGGTAATCGTTAGCACTTTCTTTTGCATATGAAAGGAAGCTACTTTAGTAAAGCCCATTGCATTCAAAATAAAAAGCAATTAAAATAGAGATAATAATATATGGAGAAGAGAAGTTTATTTTTTTTTTCTCAATAAAATATTTAATAATTAATAATTATAATTTAATAATTAAAATAATAAAAGTAAAAGAGGATTTTGAAGAATTACAAACTGAACGTAGTTTGAAAGAGAACTTAAAAATAAAAAAAATATTTTCAAAGGTTAATCTAATTCAAAAAGTAGTACAAAGTTAAAAATAACAAAAACGTTTCAGAGCAGTTTGTTAAGAGAGGATGAACTGGTAATGACGGGGAAAATCTGCGAATCATACAAGGTCAGTTGCAAGTGAGCGTTGGCTGTATGTTGAGATACCTCATTTAAAGCATAATAAATCCCTTTTTTTTTTAAAGTGTTAAAAGCTTTGTTTAATAAAAACCATTTCGTTATTTCTTATGTAATAACGAATAACAGTGTCACTGAACTATATAAAATATAAAAATAAATCATTTCATAAAATTAAACATATCATTTCTCAGCCTTTCATGCTCAACTAAAATTATTTTTGAACCTTTCACTACCTTCCTTGTCGCAAAAGACGAACAGAGTGTGTGTTTTCTTCTAAAAATATTAAATAATTTTTCAGTTTCAATTTTTATTTGATTTCACAAATGTTTCACACATAACATAGAAAAAAACTGGAAAAAAGACTTGTCTTCCTTATTACACTGAAGCAAAGAAGTGAAAGATATTATCAAAATTAATGTTTCATATATTTTTCACAGTGATATTTACAAGAACAGGTTAGTTTAAATGATAAATAGCGAGGAATACAGGAAATACTTAATAAAGTTTAATGTTAATTTTTTTTTGTTTAATGTAGTTCATACTTCTGTACTCAATATACATTTAAAGTGTTCAGCTTTGAAAATAGATGAGAATTTTTGAATTTTGAGACAATATATGTTAAGAGAATAAAATGCCAATATTGGCTTTACTTTCAGATCTTTTTTCTTTGTGTGTTAGGGGTTGCCTGTTATTGTCATATTCTTTTATTTGTAATGTTTTATGTAACAACGATTTAAATGTTCTTTAATAAACAAAAAATATTTGTAATCACCCTTTAGTTATTCGTTTAAAATATAAGAATGATATTTATTGATATTTGAATTTTTATATTATTTTTTAGCGTAGTGTAAAAAGACGTGACTATTGTGTAAAGAGTGTATAAAGCATGTCTCTATTTTTTGCCAATTTGCATATGTTATGTAACCACACTTGACAGTGAAATCAAATATAAAAAAATGTGATAAAATCTTTTATAGAACACGCGTAATATTATATTTGTTACAAGGACAACCGTATTTCTATACCTACCGACTGAAGAGTTATTCCTCAAAAAATAATTAAACTATACCCTGCGAAATGAGAAAAAAACGCCAGTAATGACACAACAGCAAATGAAGATACTTGCAGGTAGTTTAATCTACCACTTTTAACACATGCTACAAAAAAATACTCATATTTATACCAGAAAACCAACTTCTGATGTCGCTCAGATGAGCGCCAGTGGTCTGCGGGTTTCAATCACGCAGCTCACGAGAATCAGAATGGTTCGATTCCACCTTCTGGGCGAGGGAGTCATGGTGATCTTGAATGGATGTTGTGAGTTTGAGATTACTTCGATTCCCTTTTTTAAGCTATTTTGAAAAACAAACCTCGCTTAAAATATTTTGGGTAATTATGCTTTTCAGGATAAATTTTATAATTTAAAATTATAACATGTATTTCTTATTCATAACAATTTTTGGATTCCGCTGACAAGATTTAATTCAAAACACATGCAAACATTAAAAAAATTGTACTTTCACAATGCTAAAAATGGTTAAAAGTTTGAATCGTACATTTTTATGTGAAATACCCCGTGTTGTAAAGATAACAATATGCTTTTAATGAGCAAAAAATCATTGAAACATTTATTTTGAATTCCTTTTAGAATATGACAGTAGTTTGTAATGTTTCTTAATACCGCTTACAGGAAGTTATTTCTCTTCATTTCCAGCTTACATATGTTATAAAATAAATAAATCTTGGTAGCGGAATAAAACAATTGAGATATACATGTTCATATCGCTTTAAAGGATGAAAATTGTACTGTATTCAGCATTAAAAAAGTGAGTGTAGTAGCACTGAAAGTAGCGAAGTGTTCAAATGGTTTTAAGCGAGCATTGCTTCAGTATACTTTAAAAGAAGTGCATGTACAACTTTCAATATCAGATTATTTCTTCCTCTGAAATACACTGTGTTGTAAATATAGGAATGTAATGTTTTGTAATATTTCTTAATACAATGCAAAGGGAGTCATTCTTCTCCACTTGTAGCTTGCACATGTCATGAAATAAAAATCCTGGTAGAATAGAAGAGTTAAACAATTTGTAAGGTAAACTGTAAATGTACATGTTAATATTTTTTTAAGTTCGAATGGTAAACTGTATTCAACAAATGTACAGCTGCATTGTTTATGTAAGATTACAGGGTAAAATGTTCCAATTAACTTTAAGCGAGAATTGCTTCAAAATAGCTGAAAAGAAGTGTAAGCACAACTTTCAATGTCAGATTAAAACTACCAAAGCTCTCTATCCCAATTGAACCATTCACCGTATTCATATTAATATGGATGAAGGATGAAAGGATGAAAGTTGAACTGCATTGTTTATGCTGAATATAGTTAATAAATTACAGGGTACAGCGAGAGAAATTTTTAAAATGTTCCAATTAACTTTAAGCGAGAATTGCTTCAAAATAGCTGAAAAGAAGTGTAAGTACAACTTTCAATGTCAGATTAAAAACTACCAAAGCTCTCTATCCCAATTGAACCATTCACCGTATTCATATTAATATGGATGAAGGATGAAAGGATGAAAGTTGAACTGCATTGTTTATGCTGAATATAGTTAACAATTACAGGGTACAGCGAGAGAAATTTTTAAAATGTTCCAATTAACTTTAAAGCGAGAATTGCTTCAAAATAGCTTTTAAAAGAAGTGTAAAGTACAACTTTCAATGTCAGATTAAAACTACCAAAGCTCTCTATCCCAATTGAACCATTCACCGTATTCATATTAATATGGATGAAGGATGAAAGGATGAAAGTTGAACTGCATTGTTTATGCTGAATATAGTTAACAATTACAGGGTACAGCGAGAGAAATTTTTAAAATGTTCCAATTAACTTTAAGCGAGAATTGCTTCAAAATAGCTGAAAAAGAAGTGTATGTACAACTTTCAATGTCAGATTAAAACTACCAAAGCTCTCTATCCCAATTGAACCATTCACCGTATTCATATTAATATGGATGAAGGATGAAAGGATGAAAGTTGAACTGCATTGTTTATGCTGAATATAGTTAACAATTACAGGGTACAGCGAGAGAAATTTTTAAAATGTTCCAATTAACTTTAAGCGAGAATTGCTTCAAAATAGCTGAAAAGAAGTGTAAGTACAACTTTCAATGTCAGATTAAAACTACCAAAGCTCTCTATCCCAATTGA